TATTTGAGATGCTTTGTTAATATGTTGTTAGATGCATAGAGATTCCTGACCTGTAGCCTATGTATTTGACCTAGGGCAATTGTTCTACTTAAGCCGGCTGAATAGAGATAGGATACCTCGAGTAGTGGGACAAAGAACTAATAATGTATTCATCACCTAACACTGCTTACGCAAGTGGGCTAGGGATAAAAAAAACTTCTAGTAGTTGTTAGTGAGTTATTTCGTGGGGGACTAGTTATAACAGTTTTGTTAGTTCGCCATAAAATTAAAAGTATAAGACAATTCATACAAGGCATCGTACATCAACAAAAGGGGATAAAGGAATTCTAAAACACAACATAACCGCCTTCGTGACCTTGGTTTATCTTAAGTTAACCTTTTTTGCACTGAAACTTGCACACAAAAAACCCTTTTTACTGCTTTTAGTTAATATTGCACAAATTATTATTATGTTCGAACACAGTCCTTGTGGGTTTAATCTTTTTATTACTGCGAATAGGGAAGCTCGCGGAAAAGAATTATAAAAAGGTAAAAGGAACTCTTTTGTAGGTCGCTAATGGCAGAAAAGTGGCAAAATGACGCTTCAAGAACCTCTTATATGCACCTCATTCATTAAAGATCGTATGATTTACAATGCACCACCAACAATTAGGGTTTCATAAAAAAAACTATAAAAAGTACTCGAGAACTCTAGATAATAGGGAACATCATCATCAACTAGCGTAGAGATATGTGTCATCATTACCTGCGAAACATTATCTATTACAAGAGGGGCATTAAATGCGCCTGTTCTCGATGACAGAGACATCCCTTTACAGTCTTTCATTCCCTCAGACCAAGCGCTCGAGTTAGAGTACGTATTATAAACCTTCGTTCTACAAACTAGAGACAAGGGCTTGGGGGAAACTGTTATGCACCGTTCACGAGGTCTAAGCGAAAGGCTCGATGATACATGGGAAGTAGTAGAGTACGCATAAAAGATGGACATTTTCTTCCTTAAAGTAGAAAATTTTGTTCACAAGAGCTTTGTTGACTGTCCAAATCAATATGACGATTGACTGTGATCCACGTCTGTTTCTCCTATTTAAGAAAATGGACGCACCATTTCTCAAGTATTTAAATTCATTCCCAGTCCCACATCACTTTTGATTCTCTTCCTATCTTTAGCGTTAGAGTGATAACTTTACAGGTTAACCCCTCTCTATTGCAATAGAAGCTCAAATCCATCGCAACAAACTTTTGTATCATCATTCATCTATCCAATGACGAAGCTTAATGAGAGCGAGGGTAGGCTATGACACCCTCAATTCTTTTTTTTTTTACGTATACTAGTATAGGGGAGCAACACCTCCCATCATGTTTTATAGAATGTTTTTTTTATTTAAAATAGTCGTATCCAAATTCAAACTACTTAATAATTATTATGTTTATTATTATAATAACATTATTTTTAATATTTTATAATCAAAAAGATCAAATTCCTTGACCTCTTAGTGGAAAACAAACACTTAATCACTAAATTGAAATGACAATCACTTTTTTTTAAGAGGTGAATATTAACAAACTTTATAATAAATTGCATAAAAATAACAAACCATTTGTTAATTAAATTAGCAAATTACATCTATTGATTGCCAAGTCATCAATAAAAAAAATATTTCAAATTTTTATTCAATTTTAAATAGGAGTAGAAAATATAACTTTATATATATCATATATAATTATAGTTCCTCCAAATATTTTAGTCAATATTCACCAATGCATCTATCAATTCAAATTCCACCATGGAACACTATTGTTCTAAATTAAAAGTCATTTAGAAAAATACATTATTTTAAATTGTAATATAAATCAGTTTTACATTATCAATAAAATATTAAAGATTTTAATCTATACCTATATATAAAAGCAAAACATGATTTTTGTGTAATATTTTTTTTCAAATATTTTTTTTTAGTTTTTATTTTAAATTTTAACTTCTCTTTCTAATAAAGGGTGGTTATGTGACCATTTATTAACTTTTATACCGTTATCTATTACTACTATTTTATAAATAATAAATAATAAAATCTATACCTATATAGGTAAAACATAATTTTGGTGTAACATTTTTTCCTTTTAAATATACCCTTTTTAGTTTTTATTTTAAATCTTAATTTCTCTTTCTAATAAAATGTGGTTATATGACAATTTATTAACTTTCACACCATTATCTAATACTACTATTTTATAAATAATAAATAATAAAATAAAAATTAAATAAAAATAATAATACAATTTATATTTTATGTGCGTGAGTATTATAAAGACAGACACGTGAGTGCCCGTCTGAACGCTAGTTATTATTAGACAAATGCTAATGAGTATTCCAAAGACACCTTTAAAGGTTGAAATATTTTTTATTTATTTTTAAATATGTTAACTAATTTTTTTTAAATAATATTTTTTATTTAGAATACTTAAAAAAGTGTCCCCTAAATCACTTATCATTATAACATTTAATAATATTTATTTAAAATATGAAAATCAAATACCTTAATTATTTAATAAATAAAAATAAATAAAATTTTCTTATAATATAAAATGGAGAGTATTACCTATTAATTTCACTTTTTAAATTATTTTAATTCTTTTTATGTTTTATAAACTTATACATAATATTCTTTTAAACAAATTAATTATATTTTTTTAAAGAGTGTAAAATATCAAAATATCGTATAATTTAAGACAAAGAAATTATCTAATATAATCAAATCACTATTATAAACAGAATACATGTGATTTGAAATACACTTTTTTTTATACATTTAGAAATACAATTTAGTGTACATCCTTTCCTAGATTTTATCTGAAGCATAAGACAAAATTATTAAATTCCTTATTTATCAACTAACTCAAATAATGTTTTTAAATTAAACAAAAATAAGATGATAGATTTTATCTGAAGCATAAGACAAAATTATTAAATTCCTTATTTATCAACTAACTCAAATAATGTTTTTAAATTAAACAAAAATAAGATGATTCTGTTTCACAATGAATGATTGTTGACTATTTCACATCGATTAAAAAAGAATAAAAATATTCTTATTATATATTAGAAGTTGTAAAAATAACATTATCTAAAGGATAAAATTAGAGAGAATGTATTAAATAATAGTGTTAATTGTTATTTATATTTATATGGCGACTAAAATTTAAAGTACTAGTATATTTTTTATTTATTTTGTTACTAGAGAGAGAATGCATTATCCTACTCCTATTTTTTAAAGATGGATAGATTTCTCTAAAACTAAGGTTTTTTTACCCTACTACCCCCTTTTGAAATAAAATATACCATATTACCCCACTTTAAATTTTTTTTAGCAATGTATCTCCTTTTTACTACGAGCTCGTCCTTGATTGGACCAACCAGTCTGACCCAGTACAAGCACGCTCATTGGAAGGACGAGCTAGTGAAGAAAAATAGCTCAGTATGAGCTCATCCATTGAAAGGACGAGCTTGTACACGTGTAACTTTTTTTTTAATTTTTTAATTTTGAGTTTTTTTTATTTGTAATTAATAATTTATTTTTTAATACATTAATTATTTATTTATTATAAGTAATGATAAAATAATAATTTTAATATATTAATTATTTTTTATTAGTAATTTATTTTTTAATACATTAATTATTTAATTTTAATAAATAATAAAATTTTAATTATAAATAATAAATTAATTATGAATTCATAATTTCCTAAAAAAATTAAATTATAAAAACTACACACCACTACTCTGTAAATTGTTTAATACTTAATTACTTTCTAATAAAATTAAAATTTTATTATTTATTAAAATTAAAATTATTAAATAATTTAATGTGTACAAGCTCATAATAAATTTTTTTATTATTTATTAAAAATTAAAATTATTAAAAATTAAAATTATTAAAATTATTACTTTCTAATACTTAATTACTTTCTAATTAAATAATTATTAAAATTAAATCAATGAAATGTATCTTAATTTTAATCAATGTTAATATTATTTATCTTTTTATATTTATTAATGAGTATTTAATAATTTAATTTTTTTTAAAAATTATTAACATTAATTAATGTATTATTTATAATTAAAATTTTATTATTTATTAAAATTAAAATTATTATTTTATCATTACTTATAATAAATAAATAATTAATATATTAAAAAATAAATTATTAATTACAAATAAAAAAACTCAGAATAAAAAAAAATTACACGTGTACAAGCTCGTACTTTCAATGGACGAGCTCATACTGAGCTATTTTTCTTCACTAGCTCGTCCTTCTAATGGGCGTGTTTGTACTGCGCCAGACTGGTTGGTCCAATCAATGGACGAGCTCGTAGTAAAAAGAGGTACATTGGTAAAAAAAAATTTTAAAGTGGGATAATATGATATATTTTATTTCAAAAGGGGTAGTAGGGTAAAAAAACCTAAAATTAAAGTTGAATTCAATTTGGAACTTCCACTATTTACCATTAAAGTTGAAGTGAGAACAGAGTCCAAAGCTTAACACCACCAATTCATCACTTTACTTTGTAGTAAAACAAGGTAACCAACATTTGACTGTATCCTATTCCTAGACTATCCCTCCGTTCCCACCCAATGTCTTTTACAACATTTTTGAGAACAAAAGAAAACACCATTCATCAATTTGTAAAACTTCAAAGAAACATGTGAATAATGTTCCAATACCTCATTACTAACATTTTCAGATAATGCCATTCCAAATCTTAAAACAAGCAAATCCACAGTATTTTTCCTCTGACTATTTTGACCTTCATGATTTGGGGGTTACTTAACGGACAAAACAAACCAATTACGTTCCGTAAAGTCAGAAATCATAAAACACATTTGGGCCCTACATGTTTAGTTTAATCACACCATTTACCCATCTCTTAAATCCCTTTATATACAACCCTTCTAAACTCATTCTTCCCACACACTCTCTTCTTCCTTTATTCCCTTTCCACAATGAATACACTTTCTTCTTCCATTTTCTTCCTCTTCTCTCTCCTCATACCTTCCCTCATTTTCTCTTCACCCCTTCAAGACTCACATTCCGTCACTCAAGAAGTTAATAGGTAACACTAAAACTCACATAATTTTTATCAATGTACTAGTACTAATAAATCTATATTTTTTAATGATGTTGTAGGAAAATCAATGGCTCATTAGCTAGGAGGAACTTGGGGTACTTATCATGTGGAAGTGGAAACCCTATTGATGATTGTTGGAGATGTGACCCAAACTGGGAAAACAACAGACAGAGGCTAGCAGATTGTGCTATTGGCTTCGGCAAGAACGCTATCGGTGGTAAAAACGGTAAAATCTACGTGGTAACAGACTCCGGCAACGATGATCCGGTGACACCGAAGCCCGGTACTCTCCGTTACGCCGTGATTCAAGAAGAACCATTATGGATAATATTTGCAAGAGACATGGTGATTCAACTAAAAGAAGAATTAATAATGAATTCCTTCAAGACAATTGATGGAAGAGGAGCTAGTGTTCACATTGCTGGTGGTCCTTGTATTACAATTCAGTATGTTACAAATGTTATCATACATGGAATACATATTCATGATTGTAAACAAGGTGGGAATGCTATGGTAAGGGACTCCCCAGGGCATTACGGGTGGAGAACTGTATCGGACGGTGATGGTGTGTCGATTTTCGGTGGAAGTCATGTTTGGGTGGATCATTGTTCTTTGTCTAACTGTAATGATGGTTTGATTGATGCTATTCATGGGTCTACTGCTATTACTATTTCTAACAATTACATGACACATCATGATAAAGTTATGCTTTTGGGTCATAGTGATAGTTTTACTCAAGACAAGAACATGCAGGTTACTATTGCTTTTAATCACTTTGGTGAAGGCCTGGTTCAAAGAATGCCAAGGTAATATTATAGTGTTGATTTAATTTAATATTTTTTTTTGGCTATTTCAAAAAAAATTAATACAATAAAATTATCTCAGATGTAGGCATGGTTATTTCCATGTGGTGAACAATGACTATACTCATTGGGAAATGTATGCTATTGGTGGAAGTGCTAATCCAACTATCAATAGTCAAGGAAACAGATTTGTTGCTCCTGATGACAGATTCAGCAAGGAGGTAGTTATAATAACTAATTTAAATTTTATGATTAATACATTAAATTATTTGTCTGTTTTTAACAAAAAATGTTAATTTAATCCTATGATAGGTGACCAAACATGAGGATGCACCAGACAGTGAATGGAAGGGATGGAATTGGAGATCTGACGGTGATTTAATGTTGAACGGTGCATTTTTTACGCCATCGGGTGCAGGAAGAGGAGCGTCTTCAAGTTATGCAAGAGCTTCGAGTTTAAGTGCAAGACCGTCTTCGCTGGTGGGATCAATAACAACGGGTGCTGGTGTGCTCAGTTGTAAAAAGGGCTCTCGTTGTTAATTATGACCCCTCGAGCAAACAAATGTCTCTGCAGGCCGGTCAATTAATTATTTACAAATCAATTCAAGGGAAGGAAGATGAAAAAAGAATTAAGTATAGAATGTATGTTGTTCATTTCTTTGGTTAGGGAAATCTATATTTTTGATTCCTATGTTACTACTTTCTTTCTTCCTTCATTCTTTTTCATTTAGTACAACCTCTCTAGCTGTTAATCTCTTGGAATCAAATCTGAAAATCTTGTCCAAGAGAAAGCAAGTGAAGAAGAGTTGATATTGTAAAATTATATATTAATATTACATGTTTCTATGTTGATTTGTAAGGATGTCTCTGTTTTTCTTTTTCTCTGTTTTGCTCTGTTTGTTACCGACACATGCGCAGATACAGAGGTGCAGAGTGTTGACTGAGACCGGAAATGCAATAAATGAAAATTCCGATAAAGTGAATACCTATTCCGCCAATTAAGCTAGAATTAGTTAGTAGGTGTATTGGAGCAATCAAAAAAGTGTGTAACTGTTAACTGACGGGATTTTGAATTTTTGAAAACAAAAGTTTTTCATAGTAGGAATATAAGAATAAAAGTCATGCCTTTATTTTGACAGAAGATCAAATGTCACACCAAGTAATATTTGCTTTGAATCTTTGTTCCTCCAATCAAAAGTTAAACATGTGAAGATATAATAGTATTGTTAATTTTATTAATTTTTTTTTTTGTTTTCACCATCATAAATATAAAATGGTATGTAATATTTTAGTAGAAATTAAGGTTGAAGATTTTGATTTTTTTAAAAGAAAAGAAAGAATGCATATCAATCAACTTAGAAGTAGAAGCCTTAATACTTTCCACTATAAAAAAAGAGAAATTTAAACATAAATTTATCCATAAAGTAGTATTAAATTAGAACGTATATCACAATCCATGTTGGCAATTGTATTTTCAGATGTATTTGATTTAAGGTAAATATGAAAATTTATATCATTTAATTTAGTTTGACCAATTGTTAAATTTGTTTTACCAACTGCGTTCTAATTATACTACATTAAGCATGTTTGATTTGTCTTTTGAAAGAAACAAAAATAATTTTAGAGGTGTAAAATTGATTTTGAAATGTTTTTAAGGTGTTTGGTTTTTTTAAAGTAGAATTTATTCTTCCTCCAGAATTGATTATACTTAAAGCTCGAAACACACACTCAGTCCATATTCCAACATGTTTTGAACAACCATTTTTGAATCTATATGAAACTCAAACTCATTTGTTAATCTTAATCCTTTTAGTACACTCAAAAGTTCAACAATATATGCACTACAAGAATCTAAATATCTTGCAAAACCTTCATCACTCACTCGTACAACTTAAAAGACAATCACATTCAACTATCAAACTATCAAATTATTCTTATCAGTTTCATCTTTGTTCAATCTAGCTCAACTCGAATGAGGATGGGTCAATCTTATTTGTTTAGCCTCTTGAAGCAACTCCATCTTACTACTATGTAGTTCCGCTGTAAAAAAAAAAATACTCATGAGAAACTTTAGTAATATACCACCACATAATTTTTGGTCTCAAAAAGTTTTCACCATGTTGTTCCTTATTTCTCTACATCCGAAGTGTATGGTAAGATGTTTCCCAAAGTTCCGTCCAATACGGACCTCCACTAATACCAAAATCCAAACATAAATTAATATCCACCTCTTCTTTAATAATACTAGTTAAAAAATGGTCTCTCATATCGAACTCAGCCACATTAGTCCAAATAACAAAACATAAACATAATTGTGTATCATTTCTATTTAATACTTTTGGCTTTCTATCGAAAGAGAGAATTGAAGATTTGAGATTTCATATTGTAAGATAGAGAAAACTGTTAGTAGACACTGTTTCAAGCCCAAGAGAAAGATCCAACAACCCAAATGGCTAAATGACTATTACCAATATCATTAGGAGTGTAGTAGTAATTGAGTTATTATTGTTAGTTTTTATTATTGTTTTTAGTGGGTTGTCCAAAAAAGGCTTAGGTCCATTTAGTACTAAAAACCTTAAGTATTTAAATGTTGTTTCAGATTTGGATTTGCCTCAATTAATGAAATTTTTTACAAGCTGTTTTTATGTTTCTTCTTCTTATGCGACCCTAAATATAGTTAATCTTTAGTGTAGACTATCATTGGTGTTTTCATACCTTGTTCTCATTCCCCCTCCCCAAATCAAGCAACCCTCCTTCAAGAGAAATTGTTGAAGAGGTTGTTCAAACTGCTCACCTCCACCTTGACAATACTATGACACAAGTTCAACAACAAATGGATGAAAGGTTTGACAGGGTTAATGCAGATCTAGAGCAGAGTCTAGGCCAACTTCAGACCAGATTGGATAATGAAAAACAAATCTCAGATTCTAGACATGAATCCATCATGTTCACCCTTCACAAGTTCCTTTCACAAAAAGAGTAGCAACAACCTACTACTGTTCATTCACCAGCAAGTTCTTCAAGTGTTACTCAACACCTTTCATCTACATCCATGGTCCCTACCCCTGTTATTCATATTACTTCACCTAAAAATATCCTTTTAAGACATTCAATAACTTTTACTAACTCACCCACACAACCTACTATCATAGTCACGATGCGTAACACAGTGTTAGACGACGCTTATTAAAAACAGAGCCGACGCTTATTAAGATTTAGATTTTAAAAAGTTTTAAGCGGAAGCGGCCGAGGAACTATACTCGTCTAAGCGAACCGTTACCAAAAAGATCAGATATATGCAAAGCCTATATGGAGTGCCGATTGTTGTACCCCAAATTTTGAATCATTAGATCCTCATCATCATTTTAGGATCATATTCATTTGTTTATCTAACCTTAATCTATTTCAAGTTTGTCTTTGTTAAGTTACAGGTGAATCAGGGTTTCGTACAGTCAAAATCGAGGTTTCGATGGTTTAATCAGTCAATGCCTTGAATTGATTATCCATGAAACAAGTCTCTACTTCATCAAAGATACTCCATTGGGTCAAGCATGAATCCAATTTGAGGTTGTCACCCAAAGATTAAAGACAGTGCAGTTCAGGATCCCCGATTAGGGTTTCAGATCAGGAAAAGTCAATTGTAGTTTGACTTTTGATTTAAGAGGTGTTTCAATGATGGAGTTAAGGTCCATGAAGCTCATATGGCTTAGGTAAGTCCACTCAAGAAGTTTCAAAGCCTCAGAAGACCCATAACATCAACAGTCGACTCGGTAGTCATCGATCAATCGTTTCGTTGATCGAAAAGTCAACTCTTCACTCATAAGGAATTTGAACTTAAAGTGTGAAGCAAAAATGTTCCTAATAACATATTACACCTATCGATGAAGTTTCGTGACCATTGGATCAAGGATTGAGGAGTAATAAAAAAAGTCGGGAATTAGGATTTTGAAAAGGGCAAGACCATAACTTCCTAACAACATATCCAAATGAGTTGGTTCAAAGCTTATTTAAAAGGTCTTGGCAAGCCCTACAAAAGTTTAAAACTGACCCATGGGCAAAAAATGCATAGATTTGGAGTTATAGCCAAAATCATCACAAGAGGGAGAAAACACTTAAAAAAAATTCAAAGTTTCTGGCCTTTTTAGGCATGTTTTTAGCCAACTTTGAGGGATTTTTTGACCTAGTTCCACTTGGAATTTGAAGATCATGAAAACATGAAAGTTGTAGAGCTCCATGAGGGATTTCCAAAGAGTACTAGAACTCCTCCATAGCCCTTGTGATCTGAGAGTTTTGAATCCAGCAAGTTGGGGTCCCAACACTTGAATACACCATTTCAACTTTTTCACAAATTCACTTTTCAGCCACTTGAATCATTCTCAACCATTTGATCATGTTTTGATCTGATAATTAGAGGGGATCATGATTAGAAATACAGAACTAATGAGGATTTGGTAGAGATTGCAAGTTGCAAGGCAAGTGGTAATATTTTATTCAAAACAAATAGGAAAGAGAAACTTTTCATGGAAATCTTGCAGCTGCAGCCTCCCTACTCTCTATCCTCACTTCAGTCACCTCCATGTCCTTCATACTACTTGATTTATGCATCACAATGAGCCAAGAACTTGAGTGTACAACTGTCACAAATCTTATGTTTTTGGATTAATCTCATTATTGAACTGTTTAGAAGAGGTGCATACCTTTATTTGGTCTTGTCTGCGTCAGTTTTGGGGATTAACATCAAAAATGCATTTCAAGATATCCAATTGCATGAGCATTCGAGTTTTTGTGTATGTGTACTATTTGAAAATTTGATTGAAACCTTCTTATTCCTCATGAAAAAAACAATCAGTTTAGACTCAAATTTCATCAAATTTGATCAAGAATTGAGGAAATTAGAGTGAAATCGTTTTTCATGTTTTTACGTTGGTCTTGCCTTGAAGTGGCCCATAATTTACGCCTATTCACATATTCAAATGGGGTGGCTTGATACATTGGATGTATCGCCACCACAGTGGTTATTGCCTTGCCTTTAAGAACTTGCCATGCCTTGTAAACCTGTGTTTGACCCTCAACGAGGGCACTTTTTAGTCAGTTTTGTGATTTTTTAAGGTTTTGATATTTTTTTATTCTTTTCCCATTAATTTTCACGTGCGTGAGTTGATTGAGATGGTTAGTTTTGTGTCCATGACCCCAAGGTCTTGGGTTCAAGCCTTGGGTGAGACATTTCCTTATTTTTGGTCACTAGTTTATTTAATTTCATTTAATTTTCAATTTACCATAACTTCTTCATTTTTAATCTTTTTTAAATGATTCTTTTTGCCAAATTTTTTTGTTAATGTATATTTCACATGATAATTAAAAAATTAAAAAATTCCTATTTTAGAAACACTTTATATTGTGAGAGAATTGTAATTTATTTTAGGGTTTTCACCCCCATATCTTTCCTCCTTCATTTCCAATTTAGATTTCTTTCTCTTTGAGTTTTTATTTTGAAATTATGAACTTGGCTTGATTGGATTCCTTGTGCATTTAAGTTTAAT